CACCCTCATTCTGATGATCACTGATGGTGTTTATTTTGAACAAGAATAATCCTGGTACCTGCTCATACATGACAATACACAACCTAGCACTATGAGAGAATAGTTTTGGACAGCTAGGCAGGTGCCCCATCTAGCTTGATTTTGCTATTGATATGCTAAAAAATCATGGCAAGATAAACACACACTCATAAACTCTTGGAGCCTCAGTTCCTTGTACTGAGCAAAAGGATTGAATCAGAGGACGTTGAGGTTTCTTCAGCTTATTATCTTTCTCTATGACTGTACATTTGCAATTCATGCATTTTTTACTACAGATTTATACTTTGTTAATGATTTTAAAAAGCATAATTTATTTTTTCCTTTTTTCATTGATTGGCCCAGGTGAGCATTAAAGTATGAATATGAGATTCACCATACAGTTTTCAAAATTTTTCCTCCCCACAAGATGGAATTGCTAAACAATATCATGGAATACTTTTCATTTCTGCAATGCCTTTCTTTCTTTCTTTTTAATTTACTTTTATTTATTTTTTATTGTACTTTCGGTTCTGGGATACATGTGCAGATCATGCAGGATTGTTGCATAGGTAGACACATGATAATGTGGTTTGCTGTCTCCATTTACCTGTCACATACATCTGGCTTTTCTCCCCATGTTATCACTCTCCGACCTCCCCACACCCTCTCTGTCCCTCCCTTGACCCCCACCAACAGACCCCAGTGTGTGATGCTCCCCTCTCTGTGTCCATGTGTTCTCATCGTTCATCACCTGCCTATGAATGAGAACATTCAGTATTTGATTTTCTGTTCTTGTGTCAGTTTGCTGAGAATTATGGTTTCCAGATTCATCCATGTCCTTACAAAAGACACAAACTCATCATTTATTATGGCTGAATAGTAATCCATGGTGTACATGTGCCACATTTTCCTTGTCCAGTCTATTATTAATGGGCATTTGGGTTGGTTCCAGGTCTTTGCTACTGTAAACAGTGCCACTATAAACATATGTGTGCATGTGTCTTTATAATAGAATGATTTATAATACTTTGGATATATACCCAGTAATGGGATTGCTGGATCAAATGGAATTTCTATTTCTAGGTCCTTGAGGAAGTGCCACACTGTCTTCCACAATGGTTGAACTAGTTTACACTCCCACCAACAAGTGTAAAAGTGTTCCTATTTCTCCACATCCTCTCCAGCATCTGTTGTCTCTGGATTTTTTAATGATCGCCATTCTAACTGGTGTGAGGTGGCATCTCAATGTGGTTTTGGTTTCCATTTCTCTAATAATCGATGATGATGAACATTTTTTCACATGTTTGTTGGCCTCATATATGTCTTCTTTTGAAAAGTGTTCATTTCCTTTGCCCACTTTTGGTTGGGGTTGTTTTTTCCTTGTAAAACTGTTTTAGTTCTTTGTAGATTCTGGATATTAGCCCTTTATCAGATGAGTAAATTGCAAAAATTTTTTTCCCATTCTGTTGGTTGCTGGTTCACTCTAATGATTGTTTCTTTTCCAGCTCAGAAGCTGTGGAGTTTGATTAGATCCCATTTGTCTATTTTGGCTTTTGTTGCCAATGCTTTTGGTGTTTTAGTTATGAAGTCCTTGCCTCTGCCTATGTCCCGAATGGTTTTGCCTAGATTTTCTTCTAGGGTTTTTATGGTATTAGGTCTTATGTTTAAGTATTTAATTCATCTGGGGTTAATTTTAGTGTAAGGTGTCAGGAAGGGGTCCAGTTTCTGCTTTTGGCACATGGCTAGCCGGTTTTCCCAACACCATTTATTAAACAGAGAATCCTTTCCCCATTGCTTGTTTTTGTCAGGATTGTCAAAGATCAGATGGTTGTAGATGTGTGGTGTTGCCTCCAAGGCCTCTCTTCTGTTCCATTGGTCTCTATCTCTGTTTTGGTACCAGCTCCATGCTATTTTGATTACTATAGCCTTGTAGTATAGTTTGAATCAGGTAGTGTGCTGCCTCCAGCCTTATTCTTTTTGCTTAGGATTGTCTTGGCTATGTGGGCTTTCTTTTGGTTCCATATGAAGTTTAAGGTGATTTTTTCCAGTTTTGTGAAGAAGGTCATTCGTAGCTTGATGGTGATAGTGTTGAATCTATAAATTGCTTTGGGCAGTATGGCCATTTTCACAATATTGATTCTTTCTAACCATGAACATGGAATGTTTCTCCGTCTGTTTGTGTCCTCTCCTATTTAATTGAGCAGTGGTTTGTAGTTCTCCTTGAAGAGGTCCTTTACATCCTCTGTTAGTTGTATTCCTAGGTATTTTATTCTCTTTTTAGCAAGTGTGAATGGGAGTTTGCTCATGATTTGGCTCTCTGTTAATCTGTTATTGGTGTACAGGAATGCTTGTGTTTTCTGCACATTGATTTTGTATCCTGAGACTTTGCTGAAGTTGCTTATCAGTTTCAGGAGATTCGGGGCTGAGATGATAGGGTCTTCTAAATATACAATTATGTCATCTGCAGTTAGAGACAATTTGAATTCCTCTTTTCCTAATTGAATACCCTTTATTATTTTTTTTCTTACCTAATTGCTCTGGCTAGAACTTCCAATAGTATATTGAATAGGAGTGCTGAGAAAGGGCATCATTGTCTAGTGCCGACTTCAAAGGGAATGCTTCCAGTTTTTGCCCATTCAGTATGATATTGGCTGTAGGTTTGTCGTAAATAGCTTTTATTGTTTTGAGATATGTTCGTTTAATACCTAGTTTATTTAGAGTTTTTAGCATAAAAGGCTGTTGAATTTTGTTGAGACCTCTTTATCTATTGAGATAATCATGTGGTTTTTGTCTTTGGTTCTGTTTATATAGTGAATTATGTTTATTGACTTGTGTATGTTGAAAAAGCCTTGCATCCCTGGAATGAAGCCTACTTGATCATGGTGGATAAGCTTTTTGATATGCTGTTTTCATTGGTTAGCCAGTATTTTATTGAGTATTTTTGCATCTATGTTCATCATGGATATCGACCTGAAGTTTTCTTTTTTTATTGAGCCTCTGCTCCGTTTTGGTATTAGGATGATGTTGGCCTCATAAAATGATTTGGGAAGGAGTCCCTCTTTTTGTATTATTTGGAATACTTTCAGAAGGAATGGTACCAGCTCCTCTTTGCATGTCTGGTAGAATTCAGCTGTGAATCTATCTGGACCTGGACTTTTTTTGGTTGGTAGGTTAATTGCTGCCTCAAATTCAGTTCTTGTAATTTTTCTATTCAAGGTTTCAACTTCTTCCTGGTTTAGGCTTTGTAGAGTGCAAGTGTCCAGGAATTTATCCATTTCTTCCAGGATTACTGGTTTATTTACATAGAGTTGTTTGTAGCAATCTCTGATTATAGTTTGTATTTCTGTGGAATCAGTGGTGATATCCCCGTTACTGTTTTTTATTGCATCTATTTGATTGTTCTACCTTTTCTTTTTTATTAATCTAGCTAGTGGTATGTCTATTTTGTTGATCTTTTCAAAAAACTAGCTCCTGGTTTTATTGATTTTTTGTAGGGTTTTTTTCTGTCTCTATTTTCTTCAGTTCTGCTCTGATCTTAGTTATTTCTTGTCTTCTAGCTTTTGAGTTTTTTTTGTCTTGCTCCTCTAGCTCTTTCAATTTTGACGATAGGGTGTCAATTTTAGATCTTTCCTTGCTTCTCATGTGGGCATTTATTGCTATAAATTTCCTTGTAGACACTGCTTTAAATGTGTCCCAGAGATTCTGGTATGTTTTGTCTTCATTCACATTGGTTTCAAATAACATTTTTATTTCTGCCTTCATTACATTGTTTGTCCAGTCAACATTCAGGAGCCAGTTGTTCAATTTCCATGAAGCTGTGTGGTTCTGAGTTAGTTTCTTAATTTTGAGTTCTAATTTGATTGCCCTGTGGTCTGAGAGACTGTTTCTTAGGATTTCTATTCTTTTGCATTTGCTGAAGAGTGATTTACTTCTAATTATGTGGTCAATTTTAGAGTAGGTACAATACAGTCCTGAGAAGAATGTATATTCTGTGGATTTAGGCTGGAGATTTCTGTAGACGTCTATTAAGTCTGCTTGGTCCAGATCTGAGTTCAAGTCCTGGATATCCTTGTTGATTTTCTGTCTCATTGATCTGTCTAATATTGACAATGGATTGTTAAAGTCTCCCATTATTATTGTGTGGGAGTGTAAGTCTCTTTGTAGGTCATTAAGAACTTGCTTTATGTACCTGGGTGCTCCCGTATTGGGTGTGTATATCATTAGCTCTTTTTGATGCATTAATTCTTTTACTATTATGTAATGATCTTATTTGTCTCTTTTGATCTTTGTTGGTTTAAAGTCCATTTTATAAGACACTAGGATTGCAACTGCTGCTTTTTTTTTTTTTTTTTTTGCTCTCCATTTGCTTGATAAATCTTCCTCCATCCCTTTATTTTGTGCCTATGTTTGTCCTTGCTTGTGAGATGAGTTTCCTGAATACAGCACACCAACGGGTCTTGACTTTTTATCCAATTTGCCAGACTGTGTCTTTTGATTGGGGCATTTAGCCCATTTACATTTCTGGTTAATATTGTTATGAGTGAATTTGATCCTGCCATTTTGATGCTAGCTGGATGTTTTGCCTGTTAATTAATGCATGTTTTTCATTGTGTCGATGGTCTTTACCATTTGGTACATTTTTGGAGTGCCTGATACTGGTTGTTCCTTTCCTTGTTTAGTGCTTCTTTCAGGAGCTCTTGTAGGGTAGGCCTGGTGGTGATGAAATCTCTCAGCAATTGCTTATCCATAAAGGATTTTCTTTCTCCTTCGCTTATGAAGCTTAGTTTGGCTGGATATGAAATTCTAGGTTGAAAGTTCTTTTCTTTAAGGATGTTGAATATTGGCCCCCACTCTCTTCTGGCTTGTAGTGTTTCTGCTGAGAGATCTGCTGTGAGTCTGATGGGCTTCCCTTTGTGGGTAACCTGACTTTTTCTCTGGCTGCCCTTAGCATTTTTTCCTTCATTTCAACCCTGGTGAATCTGAAAAATATGGAATGCCTCACAAATTTGCCTGCCATGCTTGCACAGGGGCCATGTTAATCTTCTCTGTATCATTCCAATTTTAGTATATGTGCTGCTAAAGTGAGCACCTGCAATGCCCTTCACTAGCTTTGGAGAACATCTCTAAGGGAAACATGTTCAGTACTTTATATTTCATTTATTTCTTCTTGTAAGAATCACAGGTTTCTGAGAACTTGTGAGAGTTGCCTTCCATATATTCCTCAGCATTGGATATAATACTTATGTTTCTCATATTTTCAAAGGGGGACATCATGCTTACATGCACACAGTCTTGTGTCATCAAAGTGGCATAATGGTAACCAAGGTTCCTTCTAGATTAGTATGAAGCATCCAGGCAGAAAAAGATATTATTTTTTATATATCATATAGATATTTCACTCTGTCTGAAGAAATAGAACACAATGATGGGACTAATCTCTTGTTTAGATTTTCTTTGGCCATGTACTATCTAGAAATAAGAAAATAAAGATCTATGTTCACCACCCCCTTATCTCCCCAATGTCCCCAGACTGTGGAATGTTGGGATTCATAGTGTGAATGCTCTGAAAATCAATTATTGTCAGATTTTGTTTTCAGGGCTGCCAGACAATATTTTGGCTCAACTTCAGTCCATTTGGAACACAGCTGTTAAGTTGTTGACAAAAACTAAGGAAATATGAACATGTTCCACCCTTTCCAAAAAAAATTGCAATTGTTGGCAACCAACTCAGTTAGATGTGAAATTTTCTTATTGAAGAGAAAGTCACTATCACTCTCTGGCATCATTTTGGGCTGATCTGGTCATTCTTGTGTTCCAACACACATGGCACCCTTCACTCATCACTTGAAATTTCAGAATTTACTTTTGGTCATAAATTTGAGCTTTAAGTTACTGTATTAATAACTGCCCAAATCTTTAAGCTTCCTTGGGATTTAGTGTCTCATTGGTTTCTCCACATCACCAGGTACACTTTTTAAAAAGACTTTAATGGTAAATTAGCACTGATTTATTTCTAAAGAATTAGTGGTTATATTATACTGCATTTTTTGTAAATCATAGAAAAATATTATTCCATTAACTAATAAATAGTATGCTGTCATTTATCTAAGAAAATAGAGGTATTATATATATGTGTGTGTGTGTGTGTATGTAAATACACATATATTTGTTTACATTAAGAATAAAACAATAGAAAGATAAAGCACAGAAATGTTAAAACTTTATCTGTTAGTGAAGGAGAGAACAGGGTAGAGGGGAGAGGAATAGAAACTAGACTTCTTTGAGTATATATTGTTTATTGATTTGTCTTTGGAATTTTGTAGATTTTTACCTAATAACAAAACAAATTAGAATACATATAAAAGGAATTTTTAAAAATGTTTTAAAAAGCAAATAAACTTAACTGTTTACCAAATAGAACTTTACATTTTGATGAAAATGTTCTATTCTCCACCATTTAATATGTAGTAGCCTCTAGCTATGCAGATACTTACGATGCAGCTAATATGACTGAGAAACTTAATATTAAGTTATAGTGAAGTTACTTAAATTACATTTTTACTAGCCATATGTGGCTTATGGCTACCATACTGGAGAGCACAGAAACAGAATAGTCACATAGAAAGAAACTACTCCAGGTGATTTTAAAATTCAGAAATGTGATTGTATATCCCTAGGACAAAAGAACTTAAAATGACAAAAAGAACTTAAAAATAATATTAAATGATTTTAAGTTATAATACTTTTGAGAGTAACATTGTTATTCTGAGTTTGTTAGGTCTATACTGTAAGATATTTAATGAATGAAATGATTAATTATGTCCGTGTCTTTGAGAACCCAGATTTTTTGCATGATTAGAAGAAGATACAGATTGAAGGTTGATAAGGTTAATTCTTTTTTTGTTTTTTTGTTTGTTTGTTTGTTTTTTTAGACACAGGGTCTCACTATATTGCCCAGGTTTGTCTCAAGCCCTTGGGCTCAAGAATCTTCCCAGCTCAGCTTCCCAAAGTTCTGAAATTACAGGCCTGAGCCACTGAGCCTGGCCAAAAATGTTTGGGGCTTCTATATAAACTCATTATGTATGTTTTCTTAAGAAAATAATTTCCAACTCTGTTCACTGAATAACCCTAGAAACAATGACTAACCCATTAGCAAACAGACCCCTAATGCTCAGATTATGGTCTCTAAATGCCTTTTGTCAGTAAAAGGAACCAGGACTCATTGGAGAAATGGATAATTCAGCATCTGGGGCAGATAATTTGTAAGATAAATTTGAAACATCTTGTCATAATTTAATATAGGGATGCTTTCAAAGACTAGTAGGATTGTGCCAAAAAGAATCAGACACAATTTGGAAAAACTTCTACTGAACAAAGATGGAAAAATGTGTGTGCCATATGAATAACAAGGGCAATTGATTAAGGAATTTCAGATATTTTATATCATAGGTTTATACTGATACTTTAAAAGTTTAGATATCTTTGAAGGATGCTAGAGGACAAATTTATTATGATAAGCTAAATCATCAAGCAATTGTCTTTCCTGTATGAACCATACTTCAGGGTGACCAAAGATAATTTCTGTTTGTAACACTGTTCTATCTAATAAATAAGAAGTAATAATGAAATAAGAATATTACTGTTTTATAGCCATTATTATCAATAGATCTGGGGAATGATCATTAATGAATAAATACATCTCAGAATGTTATAGAAGTACACTATGATGAATGTACACTGCTTCTTTGTGGGTTTTCTTTTGTTTTGTTTGTTGTGATAACCCCCTAATGAAAATTATATATATACACACTCATTTTTAATATATTTTTATTTTGTGAGACAACTTATATACATACATGTATGTATGCATGTTCCACATGTATGTATATAAGTATATATATTTTAAGTTATAATACTTTTGAAAGTAATATTATTATTATTCTGAGTCTGTTAGGTCTATACTGTGAGACATTTAATAAATCAAATGGGTAATTATGTCCATGTCCTTGAGAACCCAGATTTTTGGCATGACTGGAAGAAGATATAGATTGAAGGTTGATAAGGTTAATTTTTTTTTTTTTTTTTAGAAGCAGGATCTCACTATGTTGCTTAGGTATGACTCAAACCCCTGGGCTAAAGCAATCTTCCCAGCTCAACCTTCAAAAGTTCTGAAACTACAGAACTTTGGGAGTCCTGTATATATATATAATTGTATATGTATACATATTTTATGTATATGTATATTTGATGTATAAAATATATGTATGTATATAAGTTGTCTCACAAAATAAAAATAAATGAATAAGGAAACAAAATCAAACCAACATGTGATTAAGCCTTTAGATTTAACTACCAATTTACAGAAACTACAAGAAACAGAAGACCTGATAAAGGATTTCATAGGTGGGTAATTAATGACATCTGACTATGGCATTCCATAGGAAGGATCAGCAACTATGACCTGTGGGCCAAATTTGGCTCCTCACCTATTTTTGTTAATACTGTTTTATTGCGACACAGCCTTGTCCATTTGTTTACATATTGTTTATGCTGTTTTATGATTGAACAGCAAAGTTCAGCAATTGAAATAGAGCACATATAACTCTCAAAACATAAAATATTTACTATCTGGCATTATATAGAAAAAGTTTGCTAATCTCTACTTAATATCATAAAATTACCTGATTTTTTCCATAATAATAACAATAAAATACATCAAGGGAAAAAAACTGGAGAAATATGTACAGAATGATGATGGGGAAACCTATAGACCTAATGCCATGCAAAGAGTCTTGCCAACCAATCACAATATATGGACATTTTTTGGATCTTGATTTAAACAAATACATTTTGAAGCAACATTTAGAAAAATTAGAAAAATCGAAATATTGCTTGGACATTGAAGACTTTAAGAAATTATAGGTATTTTTTAAAGCTATGATACAAAACTTATATTTTTCAGAGCTCTTTTAGGTGTTTATTCTGAAGTGTTTACAGAAGAAATAATATGACTGATGTTCAGGATTTATTTTAAAATACTCCAGGGTATAGGGAATGGGTGAAACAAGAATTACCCATATATTGGTATTTGTTGAAAGTGGTAACAGATAAATTGGGTTAATTATACTATTTCTCTACTTTCACATATGTTTGAATATTTCCATAGTAAAAAAAAATGTAAATGTATTTTGCAGGAAACTTACATTTTAATAGAGGACTATGAGGTAATAAAGTAACTAAATATAGAGTTTACAGAGTTTGAGGGTAAAGGATATGATGTATTGAAAGGAACATGTTGAAACTTTTGAGAGTGGCATGGAATATGTGCTACCTAAGCCATACATAGTACCTCTAGGTCTGGTGATAAAGCAGGCTTCCTGAAGAGCACCTGGGAAAACTGACCAGCCTGCACTCCAAAGCCTGACTTCCTGGGTCCAAATCCGAACTCTGACACTTATTAGTTTGCTTTACCCAGGTTAGTTACTTAGCCTCTCTGTGCTTCAGTTTCCTTGTGGGTGTATAAGCATTTGATAAATACTAAAAAATATTATCAATATGGGGATTGATGCTGAAAGTCTTTTAAAATTAATAGCCTTCTTTTCACTACAGTGAGTTTTCAGTATTCTAAAATAGTGGTTCTCAAATTTTAATGCATGTCAGAATCATTTAGCCCACTTGTTATAATATATGTTTCTGGGCCCTACCTGACTCCTCAACCCAGAGTTCCTAATTCAGAAGGTCCTGTGTGCAGCCTGACTTTGTCTCCAACACATTCCCAAATGATAATGATAATGTTGGTCTGGGGACATATCTTTGAGAACTGTTGCACAGATAATTCTATTATTCTGTTGCTGTCCATTTCAAAGGAAAAATAAATGCACTTGACCGTTTTTTGTTTTTTTAAGAAATCATTTGCTAACCCTACATTCATACCACAGAGGAAATGACTTTCTTAGGTTTGTCCCAAATTGAGAGAGTTTGTGTTTTCTCTTCTTGCCTTTTATGACTGAATGAAAGAAAACTGTGCTTATGAGGTAAAAATGACATACCAGCTGCAGATTATTTTTCCCATTCTTTTTTTAATTAAAA